AAGAAATAACTAATGAAGAAACTTCTTCGAAAAGAACGATCAATTTCGGTGAAATAAATTAACTAATCAACGAAACATAAAACGAAGGGACAAAGTACGAGTATTTTCACTGGAGACCAATCGAATATATTATAATGCTCATTGATCTTCCGTGAAATTTTGTCACTTGTCGCTCTATAATAAGTGACATTTTCATCGATTCGATTTAAGAGAGAATGCTTCCGCGAAAAGAAATCTTGTTTCAAAACGTTACGCGATTCTTATCAAAAATTTAGCCGATGGAACGATGAGATCGTGAAGACGGTCAGGGAACGTGGACGGGAATAGATACGGTGACAATTGTCTCGTGACCACGATTACATATTTACAGGATGTTCCAGAACTAAGTAAACCTGTTAACAGTGTTGTGTTTAGATGATTTAAAAATTAGCTAAATAAAGATGAGATAAAAATATTGTTTTTTAAAATAAATTCATCTTAAATAAGATGAAGATGATTTTTAAATATACCTAGATAAAAGATAAAATTATATGGCGATTCATCTAGATAATTTTTAGATAATAATTTATACGTCTGCTTATATAAACACAGTTATAAAGAAAATGTAAATGATAAAAATACATGTATTTCAGAACATAAAAATAATTTTGGAACAAACAAAAATGTCAAGGGAGATTAATTTTTTGCATGTTCCCAATTTTTGCCATCGTATATCTTTGTAATTAAACCTTAAATTAAAATTCTATCAAAGTAAACTCTACTTAAAATTAATTAAAGAATGCAAATTTGTTAATATTTTATTTCCACAAAGCTTACAATTAGTTTGCGAAAAAATTTTTTATTTTCAATCGACATTTTCAGGGTGTCCAGCAGACTCAATGAAAAAAATTCCCTAACTTTTTCAGATTTTCCAAGACCAGAAATTAATTTTTTCCCTGACTTTTTAGTATTATTTTTCCAAGATATATAATTTGCATATATCTATATGATAAATCCATTAAATGTTAAATCATGAAATCCTTGAGATATTTTTATCAATAATGAAAAGATTCAAAGAAAAATTTAAATCAATTATACAATCTGCATTATGTACGATAATCGAAACAAATATGTCACTATAAACTATTTAAATAATCACCTTTTTTATTTATATTATATCAAATTTTTTACTTTTGTCTCTATTAAATACATTGAAATAAAATAACACGACAATGAAAATATAAATATAAACGAACACGCTGTAGATGAATCGATGTTTAACAACACAGAAAATTAGCGTGCTGGGAGTCAAGGAAAAGTTTATATTTATTCAATAAAAAATTTTAAATTATTGAGAGAAATGTAGAATAATATGAAAAAATCCAGATAAATAGTAAAATTTCCTCACTTTTTTCCCTGACAATTCCAGATTTCTAAAATTCCCTGACAATGCCGGGTTTTCCAGATTTTCTTGACACTCTGGCTTTACTGAGAAAAAATCGCCTCCAAGATACCCCAGGAATCTGTTCCATGAACAGATTTACTGCTAGTTCTGGGACACCTTGTATATGCACGTCTCTCTTGCAAAACAATGCGTCACCATAAGAGAGCTACGTACAATTGCATTTTCCTCGTCTCTGCCTATTAATATTAATAGATTCGATTGTCGCAATCGCGTGACAAATCGCACCTGCGATTTCCTCGGCGTATACATGCAATTATTAAGGTTCAATTCTCGTTCGTCGTTTAATTCGCATCGCCGATGCATGAACGATGAATTATAAATCGAAAGAAGTATCAAGTCGTCGTCGTCTGATCAAACGACTAGGAAAGGCGTCATTCGCGACAGTCCAAGTGTTAACAGACGCTAATTCCGATGACGCAAAACGCGTCGTTTCTCCTCGGAGTGTATAAAACATCTCGCTCTCTCTCTCTCCGTTCAATTGATGTCGCATATTAAACGAGAAGCTGTTTACAAGAAGCGATTATTATTTTCACTATCGCGCGTCGATCCCGGAACAAGGTGATCTATCACTCTCGCCCCGCACGTAATTATACTCGGCATTCGCGCAATTTATTATTCCCCGATAAAACAGCGTCGCGCCAACAACGTTGTATTATCCCGGCGATTATTTGTACGACACGCGCGCGCGTGCTTGTCACATGCTCCCGCGACGCGACACGTCACTCGCGTGTTCCTCCTATCTATATAATATTGCAGATCGCGGATGACGAGAGAGCGCGCAGAGTAATTACCGTTTCGTCATTTTGATATTCCGGATTAATCGCGCGTTAGCCTGTATTAGGCGATCATTTTCGAACGCTCACGCGGCATCGATGGATTGGAACTGTTAAGCCATCAATCACTGATCAATTGTCTGTAGAACCTCATCATTTCAATATGCATAGTTGTACGATAGTGTAGAGGAAATTTTTGTAATCTCCAGAAATAATCTCAAAGTGACAGTCACGTAACCACGTTATTTGAGAAACCTCTCAAAGAGCTTTATAGATGTTGAAAATAAAAAAAATTCCCCTGCCCTTAATTATATATTCAAATATTTCCCTTAAAAAATAATTTACAAATTTGTGAAAAATTAAAGTGTATAGTTGTACTGAAATGTAGAGGAAATTTTTGTAGTCTCCAGAGAAATAATCTCAAAGTGACAGTCACGTGGTTTTTCAAAGAGCTTTATAGATGTTGAAAATAAAAAAAATTCCCCTGCCCTTAATTATATATTCAAATATTTCCCTTAAAAAAATAATCTATAAATTTGTGAAAAATTAAAGTGTATAGTTGTACTGAAATGTAGAGGAAATTTTTGTAGTCTCCAGAAATTAGCTCAAAGTGACAGTCGCGTAGTTTTTCAAGGACTTTTATAGATGTTGAAAATAAGAAAAATTCCTCTGCCCTTAATTATATATCCAAATATTTCCCTTAAAAAATAATTTACAAATTTGTGAAAAATTAAAGTGTATAGTTGTACTGAAATGTAGAGGAAATTTTTGTAGTCTCCAGAAATTAGCTCAAAGTGACAGTCACGTAGTTTTTCAAGGAATTTTATAGATGTTGAAAATAAAAAAAATTCCTCTGCCTTTAATTATATATCCAAATATTTCCCTTAAAAAATAATTTACAAATTTGTGAAAAATTAAAGTGTATAGTTGTACTGAAATGTAGAAGAAATGTTTGTAGTCTCCAGAAATAATCTCAAAGTGACAGTCATGTGGTTTTTCAAAGAACTTTATAGATGTTGAAAATAAAAAAAATTCCTCTGCTCATAATTATATATCCAAATATTTCCCTTAAAAAATAATCTATAAATTTGTGATGTACGTAAATTTGTGATTGTGTTATGTAAAGAATTTTTGTAATGCACAGTTACATTTAAAACAGTAAAATTATCACTGAAATTTATCTTACCTTATTTACACGCTGACAACAACAACAACAGCAAAGATACTATTACCTTGCCAACTGACATTTAATAAATGGCAGTGTATGTGTTGTGTGTTGTGTACTTTTTTCTTTCAAATTAATTACATCTTCGCCGGGGGTATTTTTTTACAACCTCGTTTCATATTATCTCATCTTTCGTGAGTGCATACAAGAGATTTCTATTTATTCTCGCGAACGAAAAAAAAAACAGAAAATAACTTCCACGCGGCCTTCTTTTTTTTCCGCTCGAAAATCCCGTGTCGACGAGTTTGCGCTCGCGACATATATAATATTTCAAGAATAAAACGGTCCTCCGCGTTTTTCGCTCATTGCGCAATTCGCGCGTGTCAAAATTGTTATTTCCGCCCGCGATATTTCTTCCTCCTCTAATACGCGCGACACGCAGCTACATTAAAAATAATTTCGGAAAGCAAACAAACACATTTCGTAAACGCACGTTACAACGAGCGCGATAAATCATTACGTCATTTCAGCCGACACTTTTCCGCTCCGCCGAGTTTGCCGTGACAATTACCGAGTTTGCGCAACCGAGCGATCCTTAATAACGGGCGCGCACAAGAAACGCGCGACAACACGATAACGTAGTTATCAGTTTAAAAATAGAGTCCGGTCGCGAGATGTAACGAGAGAGCTAAACGACGGGTGTAAGACCTACATACGTATGTACGTACACGTATTTCGCGCACGACGGCAAATTAATTTCGCCGTTACACGCGCGCCCGCGTAATTCGATAAAATTACAAGCCTCAGATGTAACCGCGTCGTAAATTATGACCGTTATTATCGCGAAACTACCGGCGTAATTAAATCACCAGGTTCTGATGCGAGGAGGAGGAAGGAGGTTCGCCTGCTGCTGCGGGACTAAAGTAAATGAAACATGATGATCTCTCCCGAGATTGCCCTCGTCACGGATCTCAATTCAACTGCGTATATTTTGGTAATTTGCGCGACGACGAGGAGATATTTATGGACGGCATTTCACGGCGATTCAATTCGCTATATACACTCGGATCCCATATTTAGAATGTCAATTTTAGAGCTATGATAAAACATATTCAATTCGTATCTATTATTATACCCGAGAAAACATTTTTATATATAGCAATATAATATTATATAGAAATATATAAAATTATATATGTAATCGCAAAATTATATAGGAAATATGTCCATACATAATTAGATAAAAGTGATTTTTACATATATGTTTCATATATAATTTGACATAATTATATATAAAAAAATTTTTCCGGGTAATGTTTTCATATATTTTTTATCTATTATCAGCGCGTTCTTTAAATAAAATAAATATGTAAAATCTGAATTGACATTCTTTATATTTTTTAAAATTCATATTTTAATTTACACTTGTATGTGTAATATGCTTTAATTATGTATAATAAAAGCATCTATCGAAGGTCCAATCTAAATAAATTTAATCTAATTCGTCCTACTCCATCTATTTTCAGGCAACGAATCTATGTGACAATCTATCTACAATCTACACTACAACTACAATTTATAAATCCGTTGCCTCAAAATTAAATAAAATTTATCTCACTCACCGACACCGATGCACACTAACGTAGTAGTTGATGTTCAAGCTATACGTGTTGTCTGTAACATACAAATATAAAATCTAAATTGTAACAGCGTTCAAATTAATTATTATACTATTTCAAAAAATTATTATTGGAATTTTATAGCCTATGTTACACAGGAAGAGAGATTTTACAAATCGGTTCAATAGTTTCTGAGATTATCTCAATGGAACAAACTTTACCTCTTTATTTATTAAGGATAGATTCATTTATTATTATCTATTTATTTATCTACTATTATCTATTTCTACCTAAATTAGAGGCACAGTGCGGGAATAGCCGTGTTCAAAGTCATTGCCCACGGCTTCAGCCGTGGGCAATGACTTTGAACGCGACTCAGCCGTAAACAATGGCTTTAAACGCGGCTTATTCACTCACCGCGTCGCCGCTAGATGGCGGAGTGGGAAATCGGCCGCTTTCCGCACAGAAAACACGCACACAAAGTGCCACTTTGCCTGCACGTGTAATACAAATATGAATTTACTCGATGGCCGTATTTTGAAGAGCAATCGAGAGAACAGCGACTAATTCACATGCGGAGCCTTGGATTAAAAGGCTCATTGATTCTTTTCGAAGGAAGATACATTGTCCAGTGGTTATCCTCATTGCTATTACGCATTCTATCGCCTCCATAAATCACGATTTTATCGCGATACTCGAAATATGCACTCGCCGCAGCATCGGGAGTACAAATATTACAAGTGTGTCCTGATACGAGTATGTGCGCGCCGTAAATTAGGAGAAACACCGGAAGGGAACGGGTTGTGGAAACGCGTTCTCTCTCGCTCTATCTATCTCTCTCTCTCCCTCTCTCTCGATCAGCCAGGTGGACGGACTTTATGGCTCGTAGGTGGAAGCGCCGCAAGATATAGAGTAGAACAGAGATAAAACAGGAAGACACATCCGGCGCGCAGCGCGGAGGGATAACGATAGCGTATATATAACGCCGGGATTGATTTTATAACGGCGCGCAAAGATAGGGAAAGAGAGGGAGGAAGAGGGAGAATGCGCTCCAGTGTCGATCGTAAAATCTGTCCCACGGCCTAGTTTCGTTGCAGACCGAGTTTCGGCGGTTTTGTTCGTCCCTCTTGCAAATCGATCCGCCGCAGAATTTCGTGAGAGGCTGGAACGCTTTGAAACACGTTTGGAAAGCAAAAAGGGATGCGACGAAAAAGAGTGAAAAATAAAAAAAAATATTATTTTCGCTTCAAAATATAATGAAATAAATTCTAAGGGAAGTCGACCGAAAACTTTGAATATTTTTCATCTCGTAATTTTTTAAATATAAAAAGTATGCACTTAAATTCATTTTTCATACAAATGTTCCAGCACTTTCGAAGTGCATGGATATCTCTTTTTATTGTGTCCATAAAGAAATGTGTACCCTTTGTATTTCAATAAATCATGGGATAAAATAATACTTAAAATTTTCAGTTCATGTCTAACCCATGATATAAATATGATAATATATACATAAAAAATATAATAAAACAATATATAAATATTTCATTAAAAAATAAAAAAAAATATATTCTTTATAAAGAAAAAAACGAGAAAAAAAGTCTTCTTTTTTTATACATGCAGTATTATATATTCGAAAAATATACAATGGTAAAATCGGCGCGTAGATATCGCAATTTGCGTTTTTCCGTTTTTTAACAATCCTGGCGATCGATGGAATCCGCTTCAGGCATTTATTCGCGTATTTCGTATACGGATGAAAACTATCGAGCGTCATTTCAGCTTATTAGTTTAAACGAGATGACGAATCCATCGATATTCTATTGAACGCGAATCCCGCGTTTCAATATGTATGAAAGAAAACTGTCACGTTTCTTCGCGCGATTGAATTTTCCGTTAATTCCGCAGCCGCGAAACGCTTCTCTCTCTCTTATCCCATCCGCTGGATCTACTCTCTGTGAAAAGGATTTTAAGCATCCTACTAAAGATTTTAAAAATCGCAAAATCCACGTTCTCTCCTTTCGAAGGAAAACTGTAAAAGCCGACAGTTAAAATTGTGCTCTGCCATCTGCACTGGAAAAGTAATTTACGTTCGCAAATTAGAACGAGAGAGAAGGAGAGAGAAACTCATTAAAAAATGCGCCGATGACATCACACGTTCATATATCATGGAAATAAAAAATTACGACGATTAATTTCAACCGCTTGCTTTAATCTAATATTATCCATCTTGTATTAAGCGCACATCGCGAAGATTGTAAAGCGAACAAAAGATCAGAAATCCATTTAACTGATCCTTCTTTGATCTCTTATTGAAACGAGAATAAAGCCAATTTTGATCGAATTTAGGTCAGAGTGCATCAAAATTTAATCATCTATCCTCGCTCGAAGAAGCCCTATAATTATCACAACAAATTGCTCATTCATCTCCACATTTTCGCGAGAGAGGATCCAATTACGATTGGCCAATAATATCAATCAGTTGCAAAAAATGTCCCGTAGGAAAAGTAGGAACAAAGTTTCGGTCACAAATGTCTCTTGCCTTCTCGAAAAAAATCGAAGGAACGACGAGCCTTTCTTTCTTCACCGAAAAAATTGATGCATAGCTTTATAAGTCCTCTTAATAGATATTCTTAATATATAAGGATATTTTTGCCTTTACATGATGCTTTTTGGGATATTCTCTTAAATTAAAAATATATTCTTAAATTTTGTTTGCAACTTTAGTTCCGCAATAAATTAAAATAATAAAAAATAAATTAATAAAAGAAAATTATTTTAATTATTTAAATTTATGACGCCAAAATTTCATTGATCTAGGTGATCATCTAGATAATTTTATTTAGATAATAACAAACACTATAAGTAATACATTTAAGATGGGAGTACATATTTTTCGGTGTTCCTTGGAACTCGTCTGTATTTTGCAAACTCGCTGACGCGGCAATTATAAAAAAAATTAAATTATAAAAGGGATAGATATATTTATATTTATATTTATAATTTTTTATCACTTACTGCTTAAGTCTGCTACTAAAGTATTTTTATGTGCTATGATTCTAAATCAAAATTATCTGAAAATTACTCTAGATAATTTAATAAAGATAATACTTTTTTCCATCAAAGTTTTTCAGATATAGATAATATACAATATATTTCTATTGCCTATATAAAGATAAGATGACGCCAAAATCTCATCTAGATGATCATCTACATAATTTTATTTAGATAATAGCAGACACTACAATACATTTAAGATGGGAGTACATATTTTTCGGTGTTCCTTGGAACTCATCTGTATTTCGCAAACTCGCAAACGCGGCAGTTATAAAAAAAAGTAAATTATAAAAGGGATAGATATATTTATATTTATATTTATAATTTTTTATCTGCTACTAAAGTATTTTTATGTGCTATGATTCTAAATCAAAATTATCTGAAAATTACTCTAGATAATTTAGTAAAGATAATACTTCTTTTCATCAAAGTTTTTCAGATATAGATAATATATATTTCTATTACCTATATAAAGATAAGATGACGCCAAAATCTCATCTAGATGATCATCTACATAATTTTATTTAGATAATAGCAGACACTACAATACATTTAAGATGGGAGTACATTTTTTTGGTGTTCCTTGGAACTCATCTGTATTTCGCAAACTCGCAAGCGCGGCTGTCGCCAATCCAACTCGTCACGCTAAAACGAATTAAAAGTTGGAGTACGGCGGAGTGCGCGCCTTAAACGCAGTGTAAACAAAACCGCGGCAAGGGGGTCGTCGACCTCAAGAACTCGTAATCCCCGAAACGTCACTCCCGACTCACAGTTTCAAGTTCGCGCATATAAAGTCAAGTACCGCCGGTGGTTAAAACAAAAAGTTTACGGCGCACCCTGTCGAGAGAGAGAGAAAGAGGAAGAGAACCTCGTACGCCAAGTTAGTGTCAGCGTAAAGTACTGACGCACGTAACGCGCGGAAAATTGAGAAAATTCCTCTCTTTTGTCCTGATATCCCCAGCTGGCAATTTAACACGTGTCGCGTTCCGTACCAAAATTAAGCTCGCTGAATGCACTTTACGACGCTCGCTGACCTTCGTCAAAACCTCTATACGTGCCGTCTATTATACGTGTGTACGTGCATCTGTCATCCCGCGACCGTATTAAATTATGACGTCAGAAGTGAGAGGAGAAAACGTGTCTCTTTTTCTTCCGTTATGTGTTTTCAAATAGAGAATAACATATTTTTTCGATTACACATACCTTTGTCGCGGATTTTTTTAGTTTATTTGTTATATATTTGAGTGTATGTTGTAAATCAAATATTATATTTTAAGTTTCATAAAAAATTGTAACTTTTATGATGGTCTATCGGAAGATTTTTTTAATTTATAAAAATTTACGAAATTAGATAATTTGAAAGAAAAAGGTCTAATTTTTACCTCAAAATTTGTCCACTTTTTGTTATAAAAATAAACAAGAAAATCGGAAAAAAGTCCCCGATAAATCGTTTTTTTAACTATAACATTTCTTTATATAAAAATATTTTTATTTTTCTGATGGAATTAATTTACAGTATAAAATCATGTAAATACTGCACGCTTATCTGGTGTACACAACTTGTCATAAAAATTACAATTTCTAATAAAACTTTTGATATCTGCATACAATTTTTGCTATCTACATATACTCAAATATATAACAAAGAAAATAAAAAATCCTGTATTATTTATTGAGAAAAGAAATTCCAAAAATAGGTCAATTTTTGTGCGCGACAAAAATGACCCCTTAAAAAGTAAAATAAATAAAATGGAAAATTATTATAAAATAAAATATTTTTTAAAAATAATATTTGTTTCATTTATCTTTAAATAAAAAAAATGTTTTGCGCCGAATAAGATTCTCAAGATTATAATGAGATAAATGAACTTTTAGCTCGAAAGGAAGTAAAAGTAGAAATTTGAGACTTTGTTAAGTCCGTCTTCTATTATTAAAATTTCGTGCCCGGGGTACATCTGTGCGTTGTATTACACTTTCGAAGTAAAGAACAAAACACAC